GTGTGTGTGTGTGTGTGTGTGTGTGTGTGTGTGTGTGTGTGTGTGTGTGTTAAAAGAGAACGCAGAGCAGACAGTGGTGCAAAGAGAGAAAGAATGGTTCAAACCTGATGACATTCCTGAAGTTGTGTGCAGCTGAAAATAATTTTGAGCTCTGAGGAGGGAAATAAGTCATTGTTTGAGCAAATACCCCTCTACTGCTTCCGATATTTTGTTCTCTTTTAAAGTGAAAAGGGTGCATTGTCTATTGTCTACATTTGGTCTAAGATCTTTAAATACAATAATCTTTTTTCCCCAACTAGGGAGCAGAGTCCTTCTGTTTGGTTAGAATCATCCTAATCTTCACTCTGTATGACATTCGCCACCAGTTAAAGCTAAGGGGCCTGTGTAACCTTTTACCCTCTGCCATTCAGACAAAACCCTTTCAGACTACATAATATGGTAATGAGATGCATTCATGTCATCTCATAGAGGTGTTTAAGAAGGGAGTCTTAAGAAAATGTAACATTTTTAAACATTTGTTTGCTTTCTTGTATTTAAAGACCAGAATTTAGTCAAAACAGCACATAATCACAGCCTGTTTCACAAAGAAGGCTACAAGATGTATGTTGCACAATTAATGGATGAAAACTGCTGCAGTTTTCTTTTTTCTCTCTTTCTGTGTGTGTGTGTGTGTGTGTGTGTTACCTCACTCCTGCACCAGCTGCCAGCTCCTCTGAGACCATCTGATTTTTAGGAGAAACTTCACCTGCTTTGCCATGCTGACCTCAGCAGATTCAAACACTCGGAGCTGCCCTGGATCTGTTTGTTAAAATGATAAAAGAAAGAACACAGAGAGCAACCAAGACTTGAAGCTAAAAATATACAAAACTGAATTACTGCTGTGGTTAGTAATGTATACTGTATACTGGGAGTAGGACTGTCTGTTGTCCCATTCAAATGCCAGCAGAATTATTATACAGCAGCTTCACTAATATTCCTTTTTTATTTAACAACTTTAGACTTTTAAACCTGAATAGGTTTGATCAAGTTGTATCAAAAATTATCATCAAAAATACAAATAGGATAATTAAAGAGACAGGCTGAAGAAAATAGTGCTGTTTTCTGCTGCCATCTAGTGGCGAAAAAGAGAGCACATGTTTCGGATCAAATWCCTCACAGGCACTGCATGCCCTTTGTTACATACTGTATCACTAACGAACTGCAATCAGACAGGATTCAGACACTTTACTACAGACCTTCACCCACAGCTCCAGGAGGACCATGCATGCTGAAGCTTTCAGCAAACACAGAGGAATCTTCAATCTTTTCTTGTCATCTTTAAAAATCATAAGTGGAATTAAAAGGTGTTTTTCTGAAACATACTTTCCTCCTGTTACACATCAAGAGTGACTTTTATGTCCTGCTAACGTGCAGAGTTGTAAAGTAACTAAGTACAAATACTTTGTTACTGTACTTTACTTGAGTAATTATTTTTCAGCCTACTTTTTACTTCTACATTTTCACACAGTTATCTGTGGCCTACTTTCTACTCCTTACATTTTTAAAAAAAGGTAAGAAGTAGAAAGTCGTTTCTCCTA